TCCCCACTGTCCCTCACTCCTGTCCCTCCTCCCGTCCCTACTGTCCCTCACTCCTGTCCCTCCTCCAGGCCCTGTCGGTCCACCCATCTCCCTCCTGCAGTCTGACTGTGTGCATCCTACAGTAGAGAAGCCAGGGCCCTCCTCACCCATCCAGGGGTGACCTTTGGTGGAGACGTCACCAGGGACGGAGGGAGAGGGAGGATGCCTGGAGTTTCTCTTCTGCCAGCCTCCCAGGCGCACGCTGGTGCCCACCGCTGGCCAAACTGAATACAAGCCTCTTGACAAGGGAGCTTCAGAGACGCAGCCCAAGGCCCCTGTGGTCCACAGTGGGTGGGGGACGAATGTGAGGACAGCAGATGGTTCCAGCCATCCCCCCACTCTGGAAACAGCCTGTCCCGGTTCCTCCCGGCTAACCGAGCTGTACTCTGAACACCAGGCCACTGGCCTCGTCCAAATGTGTGCCTCTGGCTTTTCTGAGGCATTTGTCCTGCTGACGTCCCACCTCCCTGTGTCCCTCCAGCCCCTCTGGCCTCTTAGTGTCCCCTCTCTTCTCTCAGGTGTGTGCTCTGGTCCAACCTCTCTCATGGTTCTCTTCCTGGCTCTCTTGTGGCGGTTGTCACAGCCCCTCTAAGATGTGGCTGAGCCTGTTTCCTGTCCCTGCACCATCCTGACCCTGGTCAGGAGGCTCACCCCGCCCTGCTCCTTCCTCAGCACCACCTCTGTGGTCTATTTCTGTAATTTCTCTCACACATCTTCTGGGTGTCTGGGTCTACCAACGTCCTATCATTGCTTCAAACGCAAGTGAAGCCGCCTTTCAGAAAGCTCCGGGTCCCCCTTCCAGTGACAGCGCTATCAGTCCCTTGCTGCCTTGGCTCGAAGGCTTAGAGCCTCCCAGTTCAGCCTCCACACGCCGGATGGAGGAATTTCCCACAAAACACTTTCACCCGTCCCTCTTCTCCAAAGGAGGAAGAGACGAAAGCTTCTCCTCTCGGCCTGGCCTTTCCCAAGCTCTCCTTTATGACTACCTGGCTGTACTTTACTGCATTCTAGAACAATGATGATGATTTTAATAAAAATCATAATCACTTTCCTAGTTCCTGTTATTTTTGAGGGGTAAAAGGCTCAGGGTCACTGAGATCTTGCTCAAACTCCAGGTTGTCCCTACTGAGTGCTGTGACTGAGGGACGGGGTGGGGGGGCTGGGTATGGAGAGGAGCTGGGTGCAGACAGGAGCTGGGTGCGGGGAGGAGCTGGGTGCGGACAGGAGCTGGGTGCGGACAGGAGCTGGGTGCGGACAGGAGCTGGGTGCGGACCGGAGCTGGGTGCGGACAGGAGCTGGGTGCGGAGAGGAGCTGGGTGCGGGGAGGAGCTGGGTGCGGGGAGGAGCTGGGTGCGGGGAGGAGCTGGGTGCGGACAGGAGCTGGGTGCGGACAGGAGCTGGGTGCGGACAGGAGCTGGGTGCGGGGAGGAGCTGGGTGCCGGGAGGAGCTGGGTGCGGACAGGAGCTGGGTGCGGCTACTGCAGTGAACTGATCAGGGGAGAAGAAGCAGAAGTTAAGCCGGGGGCAGCCAAACTTTTGGCTTCCCTGGGCCACATTGGGAGAATTGTCTTGGGCCACACATAAAATACACTAACACTAGTTATAGCTGATGAACTTAAAAAAGAAAAAAAAATTGCAAAAAAAAAAACCATGTTTTAAGGAAGTTTACAAATTCTGTATTGGGCTTATTCAAAGCTCAAGCTTGGGTTGGACAAGCTTGATTTAAACTAAGAGATCAAAGGAAAATAAAAAGGAGCCACACAGGAAGACTAGGGGAAGGGCATCCGGACAGAGGGAAGAGCCAGGGCCAGGGCCCCAGGGTAGGAGGCTGCCGGGACTTGACTTGCCACGTGTCGGGGAGGCCTCAAGGGTTTGAAGCTGCAGATTGACACGATCCAGCTCATGGATCAGTCAGGCCACATTGGTTGAGCCGGAAGAGAGGAGATGAGGGTGCAGTCTGGTGGGCGCGGCATGAAGGGGCACCCAGAGACCTCCGTGGGAGTGGCCTCCAGTACTCCCGTGTGCTTACAGACCTGCCCCTTCCAGACAGGGCCGCCAGGGCCAGACTCGGTACATGGTCTCCCGCCTGCCTGACTCCCCATCGCCAATTCTGGACCAGGCCTGGCAAGAGGCTGGAAGCTCTCCCTCCTCTTGCCACCTTTCATTCTCCTGCAGTTCCCAAACCTTCCCCGCTTGCCGGCTTTTTCTTTTGGCCACAGGGAAGGCAGCTACGCAAGAAGGACCGGACAGCCCTGATTCCCATCACTCCACCGTGTGTGCTCGGGAGAGTGGTGAACCTTTACGGAGCCCAGGCAGGCCCCAATGCAGAGCCCACGCTTGTTCATCCCGCACCAAGCCCTGGACGGGGCTGAATCCTGCTCTGGGGGAGGTTCTAGAAGCATCCTCCTGGCCAGTTAAGTTGGTGCCAAAAGATGCCTGCCTCTGCACCAGGCCCGTGGGTCTACACCTTATTTCTGGTGACCAGCTGGCCATCCTTGCTGGCTCCGGAGGTGTGGAAACGTGAGTACAAATTGTAGAGACCAGAAGGTTCAGCCAGAAGAAGCCACGTGCCGCCAAACAGGACGAGCAGTGGGAAGGCACGAGGTCGGTCTCCAGCCCTTTCATTCTACAAGACCCATGGCAACTTAGGAGCCTGGTCACCTGAGGGTCGGCCTGGGTGTGGTTTAACAACGACCTCACTGCTCAGCCCCCACATCCAGAGTCAATACGACTCTGTGAGCCACCCCAGTCTAAAAGCTGGAGAATGTGGCTGGGCGTGATGGCTCACATCTGTAATCCCAGCGCTTTGGGAGGTCAACATGGGAGGATCACGTGAGGCTGCAGTGAGCTATAATTGTGCCACCGCGTCCTGTCCCTAAAAAACTTAAAGGGTTGGGGACAAGCCATTCTGTGTTTTCTGTTTCCATGAATTCTCAGGGATGAGCTCGGATGGCTAAGGGGGTGTCTGCTCTAGAGGACATGAGGTGCAGCTTGGTCTTGCAGGCTGCCAGTTCCATGTGGACTTGCCTGGGCTCTGGGCCACTCTGAAAACTGGATGAAAACTGGAACCTCATCCCCACCAACATGCACAGACCATGTTTTATGCACAAAGTCTGACGATACCCGAACTCTCACTTAGAGCCCCACCCAGTGATTCTAAATGAAGCAAACAAAAGCGCTGATGAGAATCTTCTCTGGGCTTTACTCGGCTTGACTCACTTAATTCTGGCACCATCTATCTGAGGTAGGCACAATTATCACCCCCATTTCCTAGAGAGAAAAACGGAGGCTCAGACAGGCTATCATTAGTCTGAGGTTACACCTTGGGCAATGGTGATGCCTGGATTCAGCCCAAGGTGAGATGCACCGCAGTTCTTGCTCTGTCCTCTCCAGCTTGCCCTCTGGCTGCTGCTGGCACAGGCCCTTCCAGGCAGGAGGCTGCGTCTCAGGCTGGAGGAAATGTGCCCACAGGCGCCTGAGAGAGGCCTGGGGATGCTGTTGGCCTGTGGAGAGGACCTCGATGCATTTCACAGGGCTCCAGGCCCATGAGCAGAACGTGGCTGCCAGGAGTGACATCATTCGGCTCAGCAGGAGAGCTTGGCATCTGGGCTTGGAGCTTGATGCTTCGTGAGCCGCTGGGAGGCTTCCCTGGGTGACAGAACCAGGGCTTGTGGTCCCAAGTGACAAGGGTGGGCAGGACAGAGGCCAGGTCTCAAGCCGTGAACAGTCCCTTAGAAAGATGTAGGTGGGAATTCTAGCTCAGCAGCCCTGGACAGGGAGGAGGAGCAGGGCTCAGCACCATGCCTGGCACTCTTCATGCATTATTGTGTCGATTTCTCTCTCAAACTGTATAAGGTAAGAACTAGCTAGCAATGGGAACGCTGGCCCCAGGAGGTAGGAAACTGGGCTGGGGTCTCCCAGCTTGAGCTTGGACATGGAGTTTCACGTCCAGGCAGCCTGATGCCAGATAGCTGGCCCTCGTCCCCTTACTCTCCTGGGGTGGGACGGGGGAGCAAGGGTCCTCGCTCCCCGTGTAGCTGTGCAGCTCCCTGTGTAGCTGTCCCCAAGCGTCTCATCCTAACACGGCTGCACCCTGCCCTGCTCCCTTGCATTCTTCTGTGCCCATTACAGAGCAGGTGCGCAGTCAGTGTCTGCTAGAATGCGTCACCAGTGAAGCCTGGGAGCCCTGGGCCGCCGGGCAGTGGCCTAGGCCTTCCTCATTCCCTGTCCCCTCCGACCTTGGACCAGTGCAGGGCGGGGCCGCCTGCTGCTCCCCGCCCCGCCCCGCTCCCCCCACATGGTGGGAGTGCAGAAGCTGGAGCGCCTGTCCCCAGGGCCCGGGGCCACGCACCCTCTCGGCGCCAGCTCACAGCTGAAGGGTCTGCTCCTCGCTGTCGCTGTCGCTGCCTTCCAGCTGCTCCAGGATCTCGTCCAACACCACAGACCGCTTTTTCTTCGGGGGCTCTGTGGGAGCCCAGATGGCAAGAGAGGAGAAAAGAACAGCCGAGAGGGTTGTGAGGCAGGAAGGGAGAAATGACAGAGGAAGGAGGGAGAGGGAGGTATGAGCCGAGCACCAGGGCGGGGAGACAGGAGAAGCCAGAGGATGCGAGAGAGGGAAGTGGGGAGAGAGGGGAGGGAGAGAAGATACAGAGGGAGGGGAGAGAAGGCGGGAGAATAAGGAAAGACGAGCACAGGAGAGAATCAAAGGGGGAGATGAGGAGGAGAGAGAAACACCAGGGTTAGTCTCTGCATCACCACGGTGGGGCTACCTCCCTTGAACCCCCAGAAACTCTCCTGCTTCCCTGGCCATACCCTCCCCATCTTCCACCCGCAGGAGAAAGGATTCCCTCGAGAAAAAGAGGGAGGGGGTCTCCTGTGCTGCTTCCTCCCAGCAGGTCAGAGCTTGGCTTAGAGGAAGCTGAAACCCTCCAGAGAGGCTGAGCCAGGCTGTGGGCTGGGGAAACGAGTGGAAGCTGCTTCTGTTTTCTTGGAGGTCAGGCTAATGGTGTAGTGTGTGGCTGGCATACAGCAGGTGCTCAAGGATTCCAGAGGGGGCACGGAAAGAAATGACAATTAGAGGTGGCTTTGAAGTGGAGGACGATTTGACTCGGGCTCTGAAGAATGCGACATTTTCTGTGAGGAGAGGAGACTCAGGGTCATGAAGAAAGCACGGAGGTAGGAAACGGCGCAGTGGGCTCAGCCCCGCAAGCAACTCCCAATTAGGCACCATCGCGAGCACGGCTCCACTCCTGTCAGTAACCCCACAGGCAGGTGGTAAACCACCTCTTGCTGGCAAGGGAACTGAGGCACAGACAGGCAGGTCTGCGGTCACCCAGTTAGGAAGTGGTGGAGCTAGGATTCGAACCCCAGTTACACCAAAGCCCAGTCTTTCTGCTTTTCATGGAAGTCTTTGGTGCTGGCCAGAGAACTCCAAGGAGATCAATGGTGGCAGGAGAGGACACGTGGGGCCCTTTGGCCCTCTGGGAAAGAAGCGAGGCTGGGGGAGGCTGGGATCCAGGCTGGCTTCCTCCGTCAGTCCCTCTGCTAGTCTAACCACCCATCAGTGGGCAGCCTAACTCGCAGTAAGGCTTGATTTGTACAGAGGCAGTGTAAAGAAGCTGTCCAAATCTCTCGCTTTCCATGGCTCAAACACCTCTGCCAATAAATCACCCTGAGGTCCTTTACCTCCATCTCTCCGCAGGCTGGGAGCTCCCTGGAACTCACAGCAGCAGCTTTGCCTTTTCTACTACCTCCCAGGGCCAGCACAGTGCCTGGCCCAGAGATGAAGCCTTGGTTCACCTCTGCGTGGTCCTCGGCGAGTGACTTCATCTCTCTGAGCCTGTTTCTTCAATCTCATCCCTCCCAAATCAATTCAAACACTGCCCCCGTTTCTCATCATCTCCACGGCTGCATTCCTGATCCAAACACCCCTCACCCCTCACTAGAGACCCTCCTCACACCAAGGATCCCTCTAAAACACGTGCATCAGATCCAGCACTCCCTAAGAAAGCCTCAAGTCCTCTGGAGGTGTCACTGAAGCAGGCCCACCTGCCCCTGCTTGAGACCTTTGCACCAGCAGCACCCAGATCTCCCTGAGCTCCGATGCCACCCCACCCCCTGACACTTTTTAGTACTCACGCTGCTGCAGGCCTTTCTTTGTGTGGGATGTTGTCCCGCTCACTGTGTCCCTGGCCTTAGCACACTGCCTGGCACCTAACAAGTGCTTGTGAAATATCCCAGAAAGGGGAGTGAGTGACTGGAGCAAGGGTGAAAGAGATGGCAGAGCCTGCCCCACGGCGAGGGTGTGGAAAGTGCGGGAGGTGCCCGCCTGCCTGCCTCCTGGGAGTCTCAGGCCTGGCGGCTGTACCCATCATTGGTAATCATGAAAAGGCAGAGGGGGACAGGGTGGGCTGGGGTGGTGGGGTGGCGGCCTAGGGCTCAGACACAGCTTCCTCTCCTTCCTCATGCCCTCCTAGACGCTGTCAGTTTCCTTATAATCGCCAGCCCTGGAGGTGCACAATGGCCTCTGGAAATTGAATTTGTGGGCAGGTAATAGGAGCTGGAAAATAGAAATGCAACAAAACAGGGCCTGCAGGCGATTGCTGGTGCCCCTCCCATCTGCTAACATGGGTTGAGGGTGGCAGCTCACTCCTGGGGCGGGGGTCCCTGCCTTCCTAGGCCAGGCCTGGCTTGGGGTCTAAGGGGTGGCCAGCAGTGGTTGGCCTAGTGGCTGCCTTCTTCCTGGGATTTTTTTGTTCTCTCCCATATCCTGACAACTCGGAGGGCTGGCTCGGGGGCAAGTTCTGGCTCCATCAATTGTGTCGGCTCAACCTTTAAGGCTGACCCGGACTGGGCGCTTCTTCCCCGAGCTCCTGCATCCCCCGGCCCCGCCACCATCGCCTCTGGCTTCCTCTGCCTCCCTCCCAGGAGCCTAGTCTCCAACAGCAGCCAGGAGGAGCTTGTCAAATCCTCCATCACAGCATGCCGCCCCTTTGCTCAGGCCTCCATGGGCACCATCTCACCTGGGGAAAGCTCTTGCTGTCAGCTGCCAGGGCCACCGAGCAGGCCCCACCACGCCTCTGCTTCGCTCCCACTCTGCTTCAGGCACACGAGCCCCTTCCTGGCTCCTGGCCTCTAGCACTCCCACCTCAGGGCCTCACATCTTTTGTTCCCTTGGTCTGGAATGCTCTTCCCACGGAGCCACTCAGGGGCCTTAGCTTTCCAGTGAAGCGTCCCTCCTGATTTAAAATCCCAAGTCCCCCAGAGTGCCATCTCACCATTTCATGTTTCCACCTTACTATCTGTCTCCCTGGGTGGAACGTCAGCTCTAGGAGGGCGGGGGTGTCTGTCTGTTTTGTCCACTGTTCCATTCCCAATGCCCAAACCTGTGCCTGGCACATAGCAGATGCTCAATAAGTGTGTGCTGAGAGACTGAGGGAGTGAATGACAGGGGAAATTGAGGGTCTAGGAGTGTTGGCTGCCGAAGGACAAACAGCAGCAGAGACACGACCAGGAGCGGTTGTCCAGGGCCTTCATTCACGCTCTCACCCCCTCACATGCCAGAGACTCCTGTGGCACCCGCTCTGGGCCAGGCACGCTGGGAACAAGACTGGCTCGGCCCCACCTACGGCCTTCTGGTCTGGCGGGGGAGATGGAGAAAGAACCAGATAGTTGTGTCTCAATTTCTAACCTGTAAAATGGGTATACTAGGGGTTGTGGTGAGGCTGAAATGAGTAAAAAAGGAAACGCCTGGCCCCCGGTTAGGGCTCAGTCAATGGTGCTGAGACCAACGCCTGCGTTACTGTTACTGATATGAAAGGTGTTAATTTCATGTCTCTCTTGGCCACTGGGGCAGTGAGCTCTCACAGGGCGGGGGCTCTTGCAGGGAGGCTGGCTTATGATACATGATCAGTACATAGTTGACAGGTCAAGGAATGAGATGATGTGGTTCATCAAGGCCAAGGGAAGTGGGAGTCCCACCTTCTCGGTTCGTACATTGGCTATGGGGCAAGGGACGCAGACGGTACACTGGTGCTCGCTGACTCCCTGGCTACAGAAGTCACATGATCCAAGGTTCTAGCTCAGCAACTGACTGGCCAAGTGACCGTGGGACAGTCACTTCAGCTCTCTGGGCCTCGGCTTTCGGTTGACACAGTGGGGATAGAAATAGGGGCCATCTCACTGGGTGGCTACGAAGATGATCAATTTCACAGATAGGGCCTGCAGTGCCCAGGGGCCCACTCTACTCAGGAGCCACGATTGTGCTCCTGGGCCTGGCATATCTGCCAGGGTTCAGGCTGGGCCCCCAGCTGCCCCCCTGGAGGACACGTCAGGCCCCGAGTTCCCAGCCAATGACACCCCGCACCCCCCGCTGGCCCTGCTTCCTTGAGGAGCACCCTGTTTGCAGGGAACAGCTGCTGAAATCCCACTTCCCTGACATCAAAAGCCTCAGTGGGTTTTCACCAAACAAACATAATGCAGAACCGGAGAAAGGTGTAAAATAAATAAACAAAACAAGCTGTGCATTTTCTTTCAGTATTACAGCTGCACCCGAAGATAAACAACAAGTGAATGTCACCAAACATCAATACCCGAGAAATTAACTTGACAAAAAGCTCAGCCGTCCCCCGACAACCCCCCAGTCCTGCCCCCCTCCCCCCCCAACCTCCAACCACCATTTTTGCATTTCTGGAGTTCCCACCTAATGATTTTATTTTTCAATTAATTCCTTGACAGAATGCCAGCCTGTGTCTCTCCCTTCCCTGGCTGGCGCTGTCGGCCCTGCGTGGAAGGCACAGACAGGCAGGGAGAAAGGCACGGGCGGGGGCGGGGGGCTGTCGGGAGGACAAGAGAAAGTGCTTCGTGGGGTTTTGTTCCGGAGGCAGACGGCGAGGCGAGGGGAGCCGGGGGAGAACAGCGTGGCTGATGAGGGGAGAAGCGAGTTCTGAAAGGAGCCCTGGGAAGAGGCAGGTGTGAACAGCTCAGGGACGGGAAAAGCGCTGGGCTAGGAAGCCCAGGGCTGGATTCTGAGCGGAGAGGCCTGAGGTGCAGGGTGAAGGGTGCTGGATGCCCGGTGCTGGGTGGGTGAGCTGTCAGGATCAAACCCTGCTGCTCCTGGCTGGGAAACCTCAGGTAAGTTGCTTCACCTCTCTGGACTCCTCTCTGTTTCTGCAGTTACTGAATGGTGATGAAAAATTTACATGCCTAAGGTGCGTAAGACTATTAAGAGTGAATATAAGTATATAAGGCCTTCACAACAGTGCCTAGCACACAGCCAGCTGTCAATACAGGTTGGTCATTCTTACTGCTGTGGATGGAATCTGTAAGTAAGAGCACGAGGGTGGGCCGCTCCCCTCCTCTATAACATGAGGACAAATGCAGCAGCCATGGTCAGTGCCCCATCTCCACTGCCAAGGTGTTCTCTGGCCACAGGGGGATACATGGCCCCAGCGTGTGGCAGGCTG